CCACTATGAATTTATCCTGAAGATCATACAATCAACAGTACATAGAAATGGTGAAATGTTTAAGAGAAGCCATATGCCAAACATGAGCAAATGCAGCTCTTTTTGAGTTACATGCATGCAGCTCTTGCTGAAAGTGTTAATTTCTGCTTTTTATTATTATTTTTACAATTTTATTTCCACAAATTTGTGAAAATATGTTTATTAAAAAAATTCATTATTTTGTTTTAAATAATACATATATTATATAATAAAATTGCAGTACAGAATAAAAAAGTGCAGAACTGCGGTACCCATGCATTTTGAAAAATCTACATATCGGCTCCCACTGAACTCTTGCTTGCCAACTCCTGCCATATGCCATAAACATCCTGAACTTTGGAAGGCAAAATCATGGGTCTTTCTTCACAATAATATTCCTGCTTATCACTCTCTCTTTGTAAATTATCACCTTGCAAAACAGATTATATCTGCTTCCTCAGTCTCTATACAGTCCTGATCTTGCTCCCTTGCAACTTCTTTCTCTTCAGTAAGGTCAAAATTGCAAAAAGCAGCTGCAACACAAGCAATTCTTTTAGGTCTTCTTTTGCAATGTTCTAAAATGTTGCAAAAGAAGATTTACATAGTGCATTCCAATCACTGTATTCACATTGATGTAGGAAACTCCACTTAGATTAGACGTCTCAAGTGCATATTTTTGAAACTGCAATGCCAGTCCAGGAACTTTTTGACTCTACTTCATACTTAAATATTTGTTTTTACTTCAAGTTTGTCTTAATAAGGTCCATTCCCTTGAAAATACAAAATTAGATATGAAATAAATTCACTGTAAGCTGGATTTTGAATTAACAAAATGCACACACAAAATTATTCTGACTTGAGAAAAAATTATATTGAGTTTATGGAAGTTGCATCAGAATGAAAATAAAATTTGGCTTGATGAAAGACTTAAATTAATAAAATTAAGCTTATTGAGAATCAACTGTAAACACTATTGATGATCAATTTAAATCAGTAAATAATTACAAGGATTATTATGCTTATGTCATCCACCAACTTTGATGAATTTTGGCACATGGATAGTGTTTGATATGAAAATATATGCAGTCAACCAAATATGTTCTGTCATATCAAAATTTTTATACTTTAGTCTAGTGAGAAAAGATCAAATTGAAGAAAATGTTATTTAAAAAAATTTCCCAAATTTTCTGTTAGTCAATAAAAAAAATCTCCAATCTGGAAATGCTGTGTAACAATGCATGAAAACTGCCTTCAGTTCTCGTCACTTCCTGTTTTCCTGTCTGAACTTGCTATATGACATTATGACTAGATGTCTGGTGCACAGGACTCCCATCACATGGGAGCTTGACATTCTGCTGTTTTCTGAAGCATGCTTTGTAATTCAATTTCACACTGTACATTGAAATAAGAGGACTAGGGTTCTTATCACTACTTTATTAAAAATGTTGCCAAGTAGCAATTTTGGTACTATACAGTGCTGTAAGGAACCAAGTCCAAGTGTTATTTTTATTTCACTTTTATTTTGCTTTTATTATATTTTGTTTGGGGCTTATGTTTAGTTAGGACGAAGGTTTCCTCACCTGTCACCTTAGAAAGTTAAAAAAGAAGATAAAACCAACTCACCGACAAAACAAAACGAAAGCGCCATAGCTAGCAACTGCACTCACGTGCACTCCCGAGCAGCAGATAGTAAGCCCGCACTGAAAGGGGGAAAAGACCCCACAGACTTTTAGGAGACTTGTTAAACCTTAAAGAAAACATCCCAATAATTGTTCACGAAAAGACTGTAAAAGGTTAACAAAGTATTGTCGGGAATTAAGCTACCAGATAAACAAGAAAAAAGTGAATGTTACGTATAAGTATGTAAATGAGGGGAGTGTCTCACTTAGAAACTGTGACGTCACCTCAGACTATAAATAGCGTAGCTCAAGTGAAGAAAGCAGAGGTGAGTTCCTGAAAGGATTAAGCGTAGTCTGCTGGTAGCAGTGAATGAGGTGTCCAATAGGAAATAGTCCAAAGCGTTGGCAGTTTTTGATTTGTGGATCGAGGAATAGGAAAGTCTTGAGTTGGAAAAAAAGGTTCCTAGTATAATTGAGGTGACGGTTAGGATTTATAGTTGTAAGAAATTCTGTACCTTAAGTTAAGGATTGATTTTGTCGGAATTCCAAGGGGAATAGTTCTAAGTTAGAATAAGATTGAATTTTGTCGGGTTGACTTTTGGATTTTATTTGTTTGAATAAATTTGTTGTTTTGTTATAAATATTGTAAATAGTTATTCCTAGATCGTTATTAAATACTTTTATTAATTTTGACTAACTTGTCTTTAATTTTATTTCGGTGCACGCGAAAGTCCAGGCCTGGCAAACTAACAAACGCGAACCCACATAAAGTACCCGTTAGGTACTGGCTCTTTCCGGAATGAAATTCGTTGTAGAGCGATAAGCTAAAAATAGTACTTTACAGTGCAACCCCTTCTATTAGTTGACACAACCTAAAACAAAACTCACTAGAAGTTGACATTTGTTGACATATTGAGCTATCAATAGTTAAATTATCTATATTAACAAAAATTAATATAGATAATTGGTATTTAATCTTATCTCCAGTTACAATTATTTTTGGCATTGGAAATACAATACATTTATTATTTGTGAATAAGTAATAATGCTGATATCGGATTCATTTTGTTTAAAAACAATCTTTTTGTTATCACAGCAATTTATTGCCATAACTTCAAGATTGTCTTTTGTATCTTTTAAATAATACATATACATGTGTAGAAATTTTTTCCCCCAAGAAAATATCTTGGAAATGTCAACCATTAATACATTTTCAAGCTTTAGTGCCTTTATCATATTAATAACTTATATATATATATATNATATATATGATTCATTTATCAATAGTTATTATTTTATTTACAATTAAATTAACAATAATTTTGTTATTTTTAAAGATAGAAGATGCTGCAGATGAGAGGAAGAGATTGTTAGAAAATCCTGTTAGTGGAGGAGATACAAAACACTATGGGTAAAGTAGATATTTAGAAGTAAAGTTTAAATTTAAAATAAGAGTACTAGAAAAAAAATCAAACTTTCATGTACAATTACTTTTAAAAATTTTGTTTCTAAAGCAATAAAAGAAAAAATTTGTTTTTAAATATGACAATTCTATCTAGTAGTATTCTATTTGTCTATTCTAACTAATAGAGGCTCTCCTATTGGTAAGATAGCTCAAAATTCAAATTCAGTTTGAATTATTATCATAATTCATGATAGTCAGATTGATGCATTGTTTCCTCAGTCACCAATGCTGATTTGATTTCAATGTGATTTAATCCAATTTATTGACTATTGTTGAAAATGATGATAGTTTTCAACATTCAGTTTTAGATGCACTGAAAGTATTNATTAACATGACTCACTTAAATAATGTGATATTATACTTTAGTTTAAATTTTGTCAAAATAAAATATCAGAGATAATAATAATGTGATAAGGAGAAAACTTTTAAATTCCATTATAAAGGACAAAACAATGTAAAATAAATCACTTTCTTCATTATATATGCAGCAAATAATTAAATTGTACAGAATATAAATTTAAACTTAATTAATAATAAGATTTTAATCTGCTTATAATACAAAGTCAAACTAACCAATGCAAGTAACTTAATAAAGAAAAAACACCTTTAAACCTTTAACAGTGAGTAATGGTTTGGCCTATTAACTGAGTTGTGAACATTCACATTTCTCCACCTTCAGGCACAAAAGGATACAAGAGAAATGCTAGTATAGAACAGGTAAGACTGAATAAACAATCAAGAAAAGATGGACTTAGATATTGGTGGATGGTGTTTTCAAATAATTAAAAAAAATTGCCTGGCAGAGAGAAGGCAATCTTGTCCTTGCTATTTAAACATATATTGATAATGATATTGTTAAAGATTTCATAGTTTTTATACTGACATGAAAATGGAAAGTGTGTGTTCTGATGACTCACTGCCTGCCAATCTACTTTGTTTCTGGGAAGTTCAACAAATAAAGATAAAATAATACTAGACCTTTCTCTTTTGATATTGTCTGTGCATTTAATGAATTTCTGGTTGAGGAATCTGAACTATAGCCTACTTAAGCTGTTTTGATGAATGTAGTAGTATGGTAGGTGTGTCTAATATCTTGTGTTTGTGTATAAGCTTTTAATGTATTATGTTTGCTTTTTGAATATGTTGTAAGTAGTCTGTTCATATTAAACTTTACACCCTGATGTTGTAGAAAGTGGCCAAAACTATGAGTATCAACTGCAAGTGTTGTATCTTTAAAAATTACTTCCTGTTCTTTTTCAGGTTTACAGCTTAATCTTGTATGGCAATAAAGCCTTCTGTCTCTCCAAACAAGCATCCCAGAGCTAGCAATTTGATGAAGTTTGTCAATAAGATCCTGGCTAAGATCATTAGGATGGCTATGTGGTTTTTCCATGCCCAAGACTGCTTTATGACCATATCTGTGTCTTTTATGTATTGTGTCATGTCCAGGTCAGTTTTGTATAGGCTTAACCATGTATTGATTTAAAGATGTATTGAATAAAAACCAATATATGGTAACAGGTTTGTATAATTGCAATGATTCTTCTTTTTATAGAAAAACTTTGGCAGTATCTGTATTTGTTTGTAGTAAAGATTTAAAATATCTATATAAAACAGCTCCAGTAACCCAAGTAATTTAATTAAAAACAGACAATCTGCTGAAATTATCTGGCTATAAAGCTAAGTTAATAATTAACTCCGCCTTGGATGGTCCTAAGCCCAGCTGTGAAAGGAGAAAGGTGGTCATTCTGGCAAGATGACCAGAACCAGGAAACTGGGGAAACTAGCCAAGAAACCATATGAATTTCGAATGAATCCTGATTGCAGCTAATGCTACCGCATCCGGGGCAGCAGATGCGCCAGCACTATAGTCCCAGGAAGCTGGTGAGAAATTAGATATGGGCCACAGATGGAAACTATATATCACCTCAAAAATTGGACTGAACATTGCTGCATGGAATGTCAGAACAGGACACCATGTTGGCCAGAAGGAAATCATTGCAAGTGAACTTGCTAAATGCAATATTCTGATTGCAGCTCTATCAGAACTAAGACTTACTGGATCTGGAACAATGACTATACAACCACCGAATAGCGATAAGACAATGACACTTTGCTATTCTGGTGGTGACAGTTGGGAGGCAGGCGTTGGGTTCATGGTGGATGGGCGGGCTGGGTGCAGTGTTGTCACCTTCCAGCCAATATCGGACCGTTTGGCAGTTCTTACGGTACACGGCACCATCAAGGCCCACATTGTGAGCTCCTATGCACGAACTGAAACCAGTCATGACACAGCCAAGGATGAATTCTACAACCAACTGCAGTATACGGTGGACATGATCCCACAGATTGAGCTGATTATCCTGGCCAGTGACTTTAATGCCCATACTAGTATGGACAGAAGTGGATGGGAGACAACAATGGGCAAATTTGGATACAGTGAAATCAATGATAATGGATGGCATCTCTTATCCTTTGCCGCCTCCAACAGTTTGATCATTGGGAACACCTGGTTTCAACATCCACTAAAACACCAGCTCACATGGAGAAACCCATCTGGTGAGGATTCTGCTGTACTAGATTATGTCCTAATCAACCTCCGATTCTGATCAACGCTGAAGGATGTTCGATCCATGAGAGGACCCGATTGTGGCTCACACCACTACCTGGTTCATGCCAAATTTCAGCTTAAACTACAACATGCTAAGCGGACCTCGCCACCACTACCTCAACCAGACTGGAAACAACTTATAGTCATAACATGCAGACAAGAATTTCAGATTGCCTTGTCCACTTCTCCATACTGGACACATCTATGACATAAACAAGGAGGAGAGACGGATTTCAGAGGTGATAATGGATTGTGCTAAGCCCTGTGCCCACCAGTCTGCCAGCAAACACAGCCTTGGATATCTGACGATTGCCTCAACTTGGTGGCCAAACAAAAACAAGCGAAGTTGACCAACTACAGGATATATCGCCAGCTTAATCATGAGGTCCGACGAAAAATGAAGATCGATTGAGAGCAGTACTGGAACAAAGTAGCCGCTGACCTGGAAGCAGCAGCATCCAAACATGAGTACCATATCCTCTACAGCACTCTCAGAAAGCTGAGCGGAGAGTCCAAAGTAACAAATGATACCATAAAGAAAGCAGATAAAACATTCACAAAATCCTCGACAGAATGACTGCAACGTTAGAAGGAGTTCTTTAATAATCTGTACAATCATGACGCTCTTCAGGGAGTGTTAGCAGACCCACTGCTGATTGACCAGCCCACAACACTTATGTCAGATGCAGAGCCTACAATTGCAGAAGTGAAGGCAGCCATTGAATCGCTGAAGATTGGCAAAGCTGCTGGACTGGATCTGATCACTACAGAGGCGATCAAGGCTGGTGGTGACATCCTGCACCATCGTCATTATCTACACAGAACAAATACCAGCCATCTGGAAGAAAGCTATCATTGTGCCAATCCACAAGAAAGATGACAGCCGAGATTGCAGTAATTATCGCGGTATTAGTCTCCTTTCCATCATTGGCAAAATATTTATGAAGATAATCCAATCAAGGTTACAATAACACTGTGAAGAAACTAGCCGAGAAGAACAGGCAGGGTTTCATCCTGGTCATGGTTGCTGCAATCAAATCTTTGCTCTGTGTCAGCTTATAGAGGAAAGGACCAGATGCAGCAAACGGACTGTTGTCATATTCATTGATTTCAAATCTTCATTTGACTGTGTGCACAGGCCTGTGCTACGGAGAGCACTTGGGAATGAGTATTCCCACAAAAAGTTATCACACCACTTAAGGAAACCTACAAAGATTCCACCAGTCAACTGCGAATCCAGGAGAACTGTCTGAGGAGTTTACCATCCGGACAGGAGTTCGCCAGGGAGACGTGGTTTCTCCACTATTGTTTAATATTGTGGTGGATTCAATTATGAAGAAGTCATTTAATGGGAAACGTGGTGTCCAGTTTGGGGATGGCCACTTTCTAACTGATCTAATGTTTGCCGACGACAGTGCATTTTCACTGACAACGATGTAGTGGCCACAGACATGCTTCATGATATCACCACTATCGCTCAGTCATATAGTCTTAAAATAAATGTGAACAAAACCAAAGTGCTTACCATGAATGGATCGCGGGCAACTGTTTACCTTAATGGAGTCCAGATTGAGCAGGTACAAGAGTTTAAATACCTTAGGTCACTGATCCAGGAGAAGAAAGTGGCATCGTCGAAAGAAACTCATGCTCCTATTGGACAGGCAGCCCATGCATTTGCCTCACTCAAATGGTGTGTATGGAGAAAGAATAGCATCTCTTTGATGACCAAGAACTGCCTGTTCCGTACACTAGTCATACCGATCCTTCTCTATGGGTCAGAAACTTGGACCCTGCTTAAGACAGACTTGGACAAACTTGAGACCTTTCAATTGAAATGCTTGAGACAGACTTCTTGGTATCTCCCTTTGGGATCACATCACCAACAATGCCATCTGGACCAGATGCCAACAGCAGCCATCTGTTGAGATGCAAATTCAACAGTGATGGCTGAGATGGTTTGGCCATGTGTGCCAAATGGATATTAACCGAATTCCCCACCAACTGCTCTTCCGACAGCGACCTACTCTGGAAAATTCAACACTCTGCACCTAAGAAAATGTGGACCAAACAGGTTGAGGAGAACCTCAGGAACCAACGGCTTGATCTGAGGCAGGCGAAAGTGGCGGTCATGGATCAATGGCATTGGAGGGGATTTGTGGAGAAAGCTTGACTTCCTGCGACACCCACAGCAGCATACTGGTTGCGTGGATGCTCGCAACTAAATGCTAGCTAGGGACAAAGGAAGAAGAAGTTAATAATTTTTAAGATTTATTATCTAAATATATAAAATTACTTGTCCTGACTGACTAATTCATCATCACCCAGAGCAAACTGCTGAACCTAAAGAGGTGAAATTTTGTACACAGTTAGGGTAGGTCATGAAAATGCACACTAAGAAGGGATTTTTCAAAATTTCCCCATGGGGAGGGAGAACATTAAGGATTAACCTGAAGAACGGCTTCTACTGTACTATTTTAGATGCAATTTTTGTTTTCAACTATGTTTAGTTTTCATTGAGTACTTAGGTGTATTAAATTGATAACATTTCAGACATTGTTATAAATTTTTTTATATATTTCAATTTTTTAACCAAACCGTTTAACCGTTTTAAATTTGAATTTGTTATTGCATATTGATTCGATTATAGAATGATTGTAAACATTCCAGAAAATTTACCAAATTGAAAACAGTCTGTCTGATTCTCAGCGGTAGGTGTTATATAACAATTACTATGGTTGTTGAAATACTGAATATAAAAGGGGTTTGCTTGCAAACCCCTGTGGGTGAAGTTGCAGGTAACAGCTAGTAGCCTAATAAATTGGCTAGTTTTGATTTAAAATATCTGTACAGTTTTGTCCTCCTCCTTTACAATGAAAAGTCAGCCTTTCTATGAACAACAGAATGGTGTTTATGCTTTGTCAATGCTGTTCATGTTTTTCATTAGAGGTGTTCTTGTTCTGTGTATCCAACAGTGGCATGCCATCATTGGAAGCGGTGGAAGCACTGCTTCCCTTGTATCTTCTAAAAAATAAATACAGTGCATATTAATTTAATTATATGAAAATATTTGCACAATATTTTATTATAACCACATTATGTATCTTATTACAAATTTCTATACTGCACATGAAAAAAAAGATAAGATTGCTATTGTATATTCGAATATCAGTAGTGGAGTGGAAGAACTGTATTGTCAGCTCCCAAACAGCCAGAAACAACTCTTTACTGAGCACCAACCTCACCCGGTTTAGCTGGTAGAAGCCTAGGACCTTGGGTGGAAGCTACACACATAACGCTTCCAATTCTATCCAGGACTGGTTCTGGGCTGTTAGCTGCCTGCCCGCTAGATAATTGGCCGCCCTCGACCGATTATGTGAATCACAAGTAGATTTATAACTTAACCCAATCGATAAGAATTTACTGGTATGCTTTTATGATAGTTCTGTATAGTTGACAGGAGTTTAAAAACCTCCATTAAAATATTTGATATTTTTATTCCACTCTCCGATTTTATATTACTCACAGATTTCAATGTTAAACCAGTGATATTACGATTTCGTATATCCCAACTTTAAGGAGATGTAGAAAAAAACGTGTACAATTCTTGTATAATGTTAAAAAATTAACCGTTACTTTTACAGCGTCATTTACAACTAAATTTAATAAATGAGAGAGATGCACCAGGTACAGAAAAAGCTCTAGAATTTGTTTTCCTTAAATTTACGATTTATGTATCCATTGTCATAAAAATTTGTCTTTCCACTTTTTTCCCAAGACTACAAATATTCAAGTACAAAGTAACTGGTTTCAACTTATTTCTACTTAAGAAGTAATTAAGTAATTAAGAGATTAGGGAATTAGGGACATAAATAAAACCCTGCTGAAAGAGCCGGAATTTTACTTAAAGGCTTAACTGAATCAATCTTTAGCCGAGTACAGTGGGGACTGATTTCTTCGTAATATTAGACGTAATATAAACAAATTTTTCCAGTTCAACGAGAGTGACCAAAAAGTTGTATATTTTGGAAATTTCCTTGGACACTTGGTCCTAAAAAGAATTAGTTAGAAAACAAATGACTATTAAGTTTAACAAATTTAGATTTTTACAGCTATGGTGAGAAACGTTTAAAACCTACAACAGCTCTGTCGCATCCTTTGAGATATGCTAGTGATGTGACAAAAGAGACATTTGATATTGACCGGTATTGGCACCCTCGGGATTTGGCAGCCTGTGTGCATGCATGCACGCACCCCATATCTCTTTGTACCGTCTCTTATTTCACTCTTAGGTAGCTTTTTGTCTACTTTTTAGTTGTTAAGCTTTTACAATTTGTGAAGTTTTTTTGTTCTTTTTGTGTCTGTTTCTTTCTTGCTCTGTGTTTTGTGCGTGCATGCATGCACACAGGCTGCCAAATCCCGAGGGTGCCAATACCGGTCAATATCAAATGTCTCTTTTGTCACATCACTAGCATATCTCAAAGGATGCGACAGAGCTGTTGTAGGTTTTAAACGTTTCTCACCATAGCTGTAAAAATCTAAATTTGTTAAACTTAATAGTCATTTGTTTTCTAACTAATTCTTTTTAGGACCAAGTGTCCAAGGAAATTTCCAAAATATACAACTTTTTGGTCACTCTCGTTGAACTGGAAAAATTTGTTTATATTACGTCTAATATTACGAAGAAATCAGTCCCCACTGTACTCGGCTAAAGATTGATTCAGTTAAGCCTTTAAGTAAAATTCCGGCTCTTTCAGCAGGGTTTTATTTATGTCCCTAATTCCCTAATCTCTTAATTACTTAATTACTTCTTAAGTAGAAATAAGTTGAAACCAGTTACTTTGTACTTGAATATTTGTAGTCTTGGGAAAAAAGTGGAAAGACAAATTTTTATGACAATGGATACATAAATCGTAAATTTAAGGAAAACAAATTCTAGAGCTTTTTCTGTACCTGGTGCATCTCTCTCATTTATTAAATTTAGTTGTAAATGACGCTGTA